ATTATATTTTTATTCTTGTGAACTTGTTTTCATTTTCTTCAGCTTCAGTTTTAATTTGCACATGAGTATCTGATGGTCTGTTTCACAGTCAGTAACTGGCCTGGTTTTGACTATTGATACTGACCTTCTCCAACAGTTCTTTTCACAGATGTAGTCAATCTGATTCCAGTGCAGTCCAAAAGGTGAAGTCCGTTTGCAAACTCACCATTTCTGGTTTATTTTTTTTTAAAGGTATGGTATTTGTGATTAATAAAAAAACAAATTGAATACACAAAATTCAATCATTCAAATTGAATACACAAAATTCAATCATTCTAAGTCCAATCTCATTTCTGTCACCAAAGTCATACTTTCCGACTACCATTCCTTCCTCATTGTTTCCAACTTTTTTTTTTATTCCATTCACCAATAATTATTAATGAATCTCTATTGTATGTTAGGCCAACTTCGGGCTATAAAGGTTTTTAGAAATCCTTAATATCTTCCTTTTTCACTTTAGTTGTTGGCACATATTTTGAATAATAGTCATATCAACAGGTCTTCCTTGTAAGCATATGGATTGTTGTTGTTGTTGCTGTTGTTGTTATATGCCGTTGAGTCATCTGCGACTCATAGCGACCCTATGTACAACAGCCCTAAACCCTGCTCTATCCTTTGCCAACTGCATTGCCTCTGACACACCCATCCCGATTACCCCAGTTACTGAATCAATCCACCTCATAGAGGGCCTTCCTCTCCTGCGCTGTCCCTCTACCCTACCAAGCATGATGTCCCTCTCCAAGGACCTGTCTCTCCTTACAACATGTCCAAAGTATGTCAGAAGAAGCCCCAGAATCCTTGCCTCCAAGGAGTAGCTTGGTTTAACCCTCTCTAGGATGGATCTGTTTGTTTTCTTGCCAGTCCATGGAACATTCAATACTCTTCTCCAGTACTACAGCACAAAGGCGTCAATTCTCCTTCTATCCTCCCTAATCATTATCCAACTCTCTGATGCATAACAAGTGATTGCAAAGACCATGGCCTGTATCAGGCGCACCTTAGTTTCCAGAGAGATGCCATTGCTCTTGAGTACTTTGGAGAGGTCCCTAACAGCAGACTTTCCCATCACAATACGTTTTTTGATTTCCTGGCTGCCGGTGCCAAGAGTGTTGACCATGGAGCCAAGCAAACTGAAGCTGTGAACAATCTTAATCTCTTCACCATCCATCCTGATGCTACCAATTGGTCCACATGGATAGTAACCTATTATTCACAACGTTGTACTTTAGGATAGTTCTTGAAATTGTTTATTTCCACTGTGAATGCAACACCATTCTTTCTCAGTTTTTCATTCCTGGCATAGTAGATTATATGAATGTCTGATTCAAAGTGGCCCATGCCAGTCCATCCAATTCACCAATGCCAAAAATGTCAATCTTCATGTATTCCTTTTCATTTTTTTACAACTTCCAGTTTTCCTTCATGCTTCATACATTTCACACCCCAGTTATTAAAGGGTTATTTACAGCTATTTTTCCTTCTTTCAAGGGGTTTTCATTCTGGGGTTTACCTCTAGTACTATATTTCTCTGTTTTTCCTAGGATTTTTGAGAGGCATATTACTTCTGATTTGGAAGCAGGAGTGGCATCCTCTTCCTAAACATCATGCCTCTGGAAACTCTATGAACTTTCATAAATTACAATAGTTATAGAAAGGCTTCAGGCCTTTTGTTCATAGAGTCGCTATGGGTCATGTTCAACTCGATAGCAATTAACAATAATTATTTCAGAATGGCCAGTCCTGCTTCCTGGCCTTCACCTTTGAGATCTCCAACAAAGCAAGAAGGAGGAGGAGAAGAAGGAAGGAAGCATCCTCTCCCTCCACCTCTGAGATCTCTTACATGGAGTTATTGTAGAGTGCCCTCAAGTCAGAGCTGACCCATAGTCAGAGCCAACCTGTAGCTTTCTCAGAGTTGGTTTAATCACATGGAAGGAGATTGAACTTCCTTTTCCTGTGGAGCAACTGGCAGATTCTTAATTGTCATAGTATAGTAATTTTATTTTGGAGCTGTCCTGAAGAGGATGGCAATGTAGGAGAGCAGTTCTCTCTTTTGAACACAACTTCAGTCCTAGAATTTAGTCACAGCATGCAAAGAGGGGAAGCGGTTTGAAAACAAGACAGCTAATGACTGAGTCATGACATCATTTATGTTTCTCCATCTCATCACAGTAGTTTAAAAGCATAGAATAGAGAACTTTTACAAAAGGAACTCTATAAGCACAGACCTGACAGAACGAAAGCATATTTGAATAAGTATATTGAAAAATATGTGTGAACAACAACCTAAGTGCCCATCAACAAATGAATGGTTAGAGAAGCTGTGGTATATTCACACAATGGAATACTATGCTGCATTGAAAAACAAGAAACTCATGCAATATTATTCAAAATGGGTGACCCTGGAGGACATTATGCTGAGTGAAAATATCTCAGTCACAAAAGGACAAATATTGCCTAGTGCCACTGTTGTAGAACAGGACTGACATCAGGGTTGGGGTAAGACCAAGAAAAATTGGATAAATTATGTATACTGCATTGAAACAGATGAGGGAGAGAACAGTTTAAAAGCAATATATGATTGGATATTATGGTTATGACAAGAGTCCAGAATGAAGGATGCATAGTGGAGTGTACTGGAGGTGAGGGGATTGTATACCAATGAAAGAATTTTTCTTTTACTTTTCAAAGAGAAGAATGAACTTGGGGAGGAAATGCAACAATGTATGAATGGAAATCCAAAATCTCTATAAATGTTTATTAAAATTAATTAAAAAAAAGAATTCAAAGGAAATTTTTTAAAAGTGTGAATAATGAAATGTTAAAACCAAGTACAGGAAATGATTCCCTTGTTACTTAAACAAAAGAGTTTAGCTCAGTGGTCAGAGAAAAAAAAATAGCAAGAATGTAGTTCCCTTTTGTTGACTCAACCCAAGAGGAAAGACATGAAGTTGACACTCCCGATGCTTCACATTGCTCTTAATTCTTGCCTTTACCAAGTCTAACAAAGGCATCTATAGAGCCTAGATGATGACATTGCTTTCAGGTTGCTGTGAGGCTGATGAAGTCATAGAGCGCTGCTGTCCAGGTGCCTAACCTCACTCTCCCTGAGGCCCCCAAGAATACTCGGAATAATGTTAGCTGTTAGCCTATTCTCTCTTTCCCTTTCCACCCCCTAACCTAGGCCATTGTCTCTCTCGCTCAAATCTCAACCCATATTTCCTGCTATTTACAACCTGTAGATTGTCCCCTTGCCATATCACACTAACAACGTCAAAAGTTGGACTTGTCTCCCTCCCAGGCTTCCCCATTCTGATCAAACTTCCCATCCTGATGCGGATGTCCTCTGCTTCTGGCTTCTTGATGCCCATAGCCAAGGAATGATTATGTGTTTTCCCTTCTGCATATAGAGTTCATAATGTTCACATTTTAGCTCATCTTAATGCATGTCTTTTTCATATTTTAAAAAGCTACATTTACTTTTTATGATTGTCACACAAATATAGATAACATGGCATTTGAAATTCGATGTCTTTCACATGTACAATGTTGTTGTATACCATTGAATCAGAAACCTACTCATAGCTGACCCTCTAGCAGGTTTTCAAAGGCAATAAATCTCAAGGGAGGAGATTATCCCTCTTTCTCCCACAGAGCAGCTGGTGGATTCAAACCACATTCCTTTGGGATTGCAGTACAATTTCTTACCACTAGGACACCAGAGTTCGAGTATGTGTACAATGTTGTTGTTGTTATGTGCTGTCGAGTCGCTTACGACTCATAGCGACCCTATGGACAACAGCCCTAAACCCTGCTCTATCCTGTGCCAATCTCATTACCTCTGACACACCCATCCCGATTACCCCAGTCACTGAATCAATCCACCTCATAGAGGGTCTTCCCCTCCTGCGCCGTCCCTCCACTCTGCCTAGCATGATGTCCCTCTCCAAAGACCTGTCTCTCCTTACAACATGTCCAAAGTATGTCAGGCGAAGCCCCAGAAGCCTTGCCTCCAAGGAGCAGCCTGGTTTAATAATGCCAATTATATCAGTCATGCTGTACAACCATCATCAATTGTTGTTGTTATGTCCAAATGAGTTTACTAAAGTTCATAGCAACCCTATCTGAAATAGAAATACCATTTCACCTAGAAATTCCACTGCTAGGAATATAAAGAAACCAAAGCCACAACTCAAACAGATGTATGTACATCCATGTTTATTGCCCTATCCTGAGACAACCTCACTCTCTCAGACACACCTGGCCCCATTGCCACAATCACTTTGTCAATCCATCTCATCCAGGGTCTTCCACTCTTTTTTTTAAAAAAAAAGTTATTCATTGTTGCACATTATCTCCCCCTTACCCTTCCCTATCCCCCTAAGTGTCCCCTTGCTCCAGACTGTTCTCATACATATAATGTATAATCATATATCCCTTTCTTTTTTTTTGTTACAGAAAAGGATATTTTCATTCATTCATTATTGCACATTTTCCTTAACCCCCTCTCCCAATTGACATCTTTATTTGTAAACTTAATGGCCATTCATTGTTGCATAATTCCCTCCCTACTTTGCAATGTACCTCTTATTCTGGACAGTTGTCATATATGTATTAAACAGTCTTCTCCATCATCTGCTCCAATGCAGTGTTCTATATCAACTCTTTTCCTAGTTTCTTCCATAAGAGTCGTTTTATAATAGTCTTGTTATGCAGTATTTGCCCTTTTATGGTTGACATATTTCACTCAGTATAATGTCTTCCAGGGTAACCCATGTTGTGTAATGCTTTATGTGGTTTACATTGTTTTTTCAGTGCTGTGTAGTATTCCATTGTGTGAATATATCATAGTTTTTCTATCCATTCAATTTTTTTATGGGCTTTGAGTTGCTTCCATCTCTTTGATATTGTAAACAATGCATCAATAAACATATACATACATGTTTGGAGGGTGGTTCTGGCTTCTTTAGGGTATATCCCCAGTAATGGAATTGCTGAGTCAAGTGATATTTCTATCCCAACTTTTATAGAAAGTACCAAACCATCTTCCATAGTGGTTGTACTTTTTTAAACTCCAACCAGCAGTGAATAAGGGTTCCAATCTCTCCACAGCCTTAATAGCATTTGTTGTTTGCTGCTCTGTTGGACTTCGCTATTGTTGCCGGAAGGTGGGGGAGAGCTTATTTTTCGACAATTCTTTCAGAGAATCTTGGACTTCTTCCTTTGTTACCCATATATCCCTTTCAAACAGTTCTTGCCTTCATCTGTTCCAATGCAGTGATCATTATCTATCTACTCATTCCCCATTCCCTCTCCAACCCCCCCATGTCTGTCCTATTTTAGAACAGTGGTGCTGCACAGTATTTATCCTTTTATGACTGAGTCGTTTCACTTAGCATAGTGTCCTTGAGGCTACATGTTGTGTAATCTTTTACCATTTCATTGTTTTCCAGTGCTGTGTAGTATTCTATTATGTGGGTGTACCATAATTTTTCTATCCATTTGTTTATTGATGAACAATTAGGTTACTTCTATCTCTTTGCTATTGTGAATAATCCAGCAATAAATATGTATGTGCATGCATCTGTTTGAGTTGTGGCTCTGATTTCTTTAGTGTCTATTCCAAGCAGTGAAATTGCTGAGTCAAATGGTACTTCTATTTCCAACTTTCTAAGAAAGTGCCAGACCACCTTGCATAGTGGCTGTACCATTTTACATTTCCATCAGCAGTGAATAAGAGTTCCAATCTCTCCCCAACCTCACCAGTATTTGTTGTTTGCTGCGTTGTTGAACTTTGCTATTGTTGCTGTGGCCAGGGTCTTATACTCTTGTGCTGACCCTCCACCATTCTTAGTATGATGTCTGTTGTAGACCGAGGGTAAAGTATACTAAGAAATAATAATAATAACAATAAAACAGAGCACCAAGAATGTATAGGTAAACAGAGGTAAAGCAGGAGGCAAACAGTTCTTGAACAACTGAAGCACCATCTCAGCTTCCCTGTGCCTTTATTGAAAATTGCCAGGGAGCAAACCACAAAGAGAATTCTATGCAAATGAAGCTAAGCTCTTTCTATTGAAAACCTTATGCTTGACTCAAGAGAGACGGGTTAGCAAATACAATACAAGAATCATGTAAATGCCTAAGGTTTACCTTAGTGCCTACCCCTGTAAACATCTAACGTGTGCCTTAGTGCTTCAGGATGAATTCCAGCTTGTAGCCATACCTCCCACATACCCTGATAAAGTATTTGTCTTATTATAAGTATTTAGCATGATATCTGGCTTCCCACAGATGTCCTTCTCCAAGGACTGGCCCCTCCTGGAAACATGCTCAAAGTGAATGTCAGGTAGATTTTTAAAATCCTTGCCTCCAAAAAGCAACCCTTTCCAGGACAGACCTGCTTGTTATCTTAGAAGTCCATTTTTGTTGTTGTTATGTGCCACCAAGTCACCTATGACTCATAATGACCCTATGAACAACAGCCCTAGCCTCTGCTCTATCCTATGCCAATATTATTGTCTCTGACATACCTATCCCATTACCCTACTCCCTGAATCAATCCATCTCATCGAGTGTCTTCCTCTCCTGCGCTGTCCCTCCACCCTCCCAAGCATGACATCCCTCTCCAAGGACTTGTCCCTCCTTACAACATGTCCAAAGTATGTCAGATGAAGCTTTAGAATCTTTGCCTCCAAGGAGCAGCCTGGTCTCACCCTCTCTAGGGCAAACCTGTTTGTTCTCCTAGCAGTCCATGGTTTATTCAGTAATCTTCTCCATCACCACAGCTCAAAGGCTTCAGTTCTCCTTCTATTACCCCTAGTCATTGTCCAGCTTTCTGATGCATAGCAAGTGATTGCAAGGACTGGATCAGGCAACACCTTAGCCTCCAGGCAGACATTGTTGTTCTTCAGTACTTTGGAGAGGTCTTCTCTGACAGCAGATTTTCCCAGTGAAATTCGTCTTTTAATTTCCTGGATGCTGGTACCAAGAGTGTTGGTACAAATCAAAGGCATCAATTCTTCTTCTGTCACTCTTAGTCATTGTCCAGTTCTCTGATGCATAGCAAGCAACTGAGAAGACTATATCCTGGATCAGGTGCACCTTGGTCTCTAGATTGACCTCATTGCTTTTTTGCACTCTGGGATATCAGAAATTCCTAAAACAATGTGCCTTTTGATTTCCTGACTGCTGATGCAAAAGTGTTGATTGTGGAGCCAAGAAAAAAGGAAACTGCTAGCAACCTTAATCTTTTCTCCATCTATCATGATGCTGCCAATTGGCCCAGTGGTGATAATCTTCGTTTTCTTGCTGTTGAGATTCAATCCATATTGAAGACTACAGTCCTTGACCTTCTGCAGCAAAAAATTCAAGTTCTCTTCAGTTTCTGTAAGATTGTGTCATCTGTTTAATGTAAAGTGGTTGGTAAATCTTCCTCCAATCCTGATGCTACATTCTTCTTCATAAAGTCCAGCTTCCTGAATGATCTGTTCTGAATAGAGTTTGGAAAGGTGTGGAGAAAGGATACATTCTTGATACAATCCTTTCTTGATTTTGAACTATGCAGTGCTCTTTTTGGACAACAGCTTCTTGGTAGATATAGATTTCATATGAGCACAAGTGAGTGTTCTGGGATTCCCAGTCTTCTCAAGGTTAGCCCAAATTGTGATCCACACAGTCAGTCAAATGCCTTTGTATAGTCAATGAAACACAAATAGACATCCTTCTGGAACTCTCTGCTTTTAGCCAAGATCCATCTGACATCAGTAATGATATGCCTAGTGCCACAGCCTCTTCTAAAACCAGTTTGTACTTTTGGCAGTTCTCCGTCAGTGTACCATTCTAGTAGTTTTTAAATAATCTTCATCAAGATTTTGCTTGTGTGTGATATTAGTGACATTGTTCCATTATTTCCATACTCTGTTAGATCACCTTTTTGGAGAATGAGAATAAATATTGATCTCTTCCAGTCAGTTGGCCAAGTAGCTTTCCTTTAGATTTCTTGACACCTGGTGAGCACATCCAGGAATGCATCTGTTTGTTAAAATATATCACTTAGTAGAACCCATTGCCAAATTTTCCATCACCATAAACTGAATGCCTCCTTATCTCCTCCCTCTCATTCCTAGTAACTACATTACACTTTGACCACTATGTGTTGTATACAGTTACCTGTTCCAGATATTTTATATAAATGAGACCGTACAATATTAGTCTTTTATAATTGACTTGTATGTACTCTTTTCTGTAATTTTTATTATTAATTTTTTTTAATTATTAAATTTTATTAATTTTAATGAACATTTACAGAGATTTTGGGTTTTCATTCATTCATTGTTGCACTTTTTCTATAATTTTTTAAAACACAGCTTCATCCCATTGTGCAAGCTACTATAAAGTCGAGTGTGCTAGTTCTGTTCCTTCATATAGTGCAAGTGATAGAGGCAGCCTGTCATCTTTCCTATCTCCTGAACATTGACACATTATTCTTCACTCTGTGGCTTCTACCACTTGATTCCTCAATGGTAAACTACTTAATGAGATTTCAGTGCTGTCTACTTCAGCTGTCCATCTTAATATCAGTCAAAGGTTTATGGAGACAGACATGTGGAAGGTGTCACTCAAGTCTTTATCACTAACATAATAAATCAAAGGCCACTTTTTGTTCAGTTCCTTGATCTCTGAAAACTACAAGCAATTTACAGAATGACTGATTCCTGGTCTTCCTTATCCAGTTCACAGATTAATTATAAAAACCAAAGTAAGTAAATAATTATTTTAGAAGTGTTTATAACAGTAAAAATGGAGCATAATATGTATGAATGTATGATAAAAATGATATATTTCTGTCATATTTCCCATCTGAGATGTTATGGGTTTATTCAAAATGGCTTTTCTAGCCTTTGCTTGCCTTGCCATGTGGATGACAGGAATATGTGAATAGGGCATTTTAGCCTATCTACAAGAGAATTGGCTAATCTTGCCATTAAATTGAGTGGTCCAGCAGCAGAAGGAGAATCTTCTTCCTTGCCAGCAAAAAAGGAGAAGCAAGAGAATGCAACTGGTCCTTCAGGACCAGAGCATCAGCTATGGAAGTTGAAGCAGAGGACCAGAGAACCAACATGAGAGGGAGCTGACTGCTATTCCCCATGGACAGAATCAGAGCTAAGCTAAGAAGAGCCTTTGCCCAAGTTTGCTGGACAACTCCAGCAGGGAGGAGTCAATGTTGGTGGGACTGAGAACTTGTAACACTGGCCTAAAGTTGTGAGGCTCAAGGCTGAGGTACCTGAGAACACATTTTGGAAGATGTCCTGACCATATTCTGCTACTAACCAAGATTATAACCTTTTTATTTCCCCATATGGTTCTGTGTGGCCGGTGAGCTATCGCATCAGATTTTGGATCCAGCAAAGCAGTGAGATGGAGGTTGAGATGAGAAGGAAGAGGTACAGGAGCATAAAGGGACATGTCTGACCTCATGGGAATTGGTTTTGTAATGCTGATGTTGTTGCCAGAGACAGCTCCACTTTTTGACGTTGGTAAAGGTCAGATATGGCCTCTCCAGGTGGCCCTTGTTCTTTTTACAGCATTTCCCCTTCGCTTATTCATCTATTAGCTTGTAGCCAAGTTTCCCTGTTTCTATCTTCTCCTCTGATTCACCCCTGGCCTATATTATTCTTATTGTTATCAAAATAGCTACTTTTACTTCTTAACAAGGAGCCACCCTTCCACTTTTTCAAAGCATAACTCAAAGCCATCTCCTGCGGGAAATCTCAGTCTTGCTGAAGGAAATGATAAGTTTCCAGGTACACCACTTCTAGATACACCACCATTACATCACTCTTTCAGGTCCCATTCCCACAGCACACACCATACAGTACAAAGCACTTTTGTAAGAATTCCACATAAAGCATTTTCACTCACATTATCCTCTTTAAGATGTCTTTACATTTGTGCTATATTAAAGCTTTTTTTAAAAAATGGGAAATATAGGATAAATGAGAAGAGTGACAAATTTGGGCTTGCCACTTACTAGTAGTCTCAGACTTATATTCAAGTATATGGGCTCCTTTCCCCCTGAGATTGTGAAAATGGCACAGAATGGGGCAAAGTTCGGGTCTGTTGTTCATAGGGTCATTATGAGTCATAGTCTATTTGCTGGCATCTAACAACAACTAATCTTCCAATGCGTTTTTCAGAGACTCTAGAATCATGTGGTAGGAGATTGTTCATCCTTTTCCTATGGAGCAGCTGGTAGAAAAAGAAGAATTGATGCTTTGAGTTGTGGTGCTGAAAGAGCATTGAACATACCACAGACTGCCAAGAGAACAAACTGGTCTATCGTGAAGAGGATGAAGTCAGGTTTCTCCTTTGAGGCAAGGAATTTGAAGCTCTGTCTCATATACTTTGGGCATACTGTCAGGTGGGACCACTCCTTGGAGAAGGACATCATACTTGGAAGGGTTAGAGGGATTGCGCAGGAGAGGAAGACCCCAGATGAGATGGATTGACACAGTAACTGGGATAATGGAGGCGGGTGTGTCAAAGACAGTGAGGCTAGCTAAGGATAGAGCAGGGTTCAACACTATTATGGATAGGATCTTTATGAGTTACAGGCAACTTGATGGCACATGACAACAACAGCAGCAACATATGATGCTGCAGTACATAATGTGCTGATATTCCTATTTTCAGATGTTTAGTAGAAGATGCACATTTCATTGTAATATTTTGCTTTGTCTTCCCAAGGTTTCCTTTGAAATCTTCTGTTTAGCTCCTTAACTTCCTGATTTCTTCCCTTTGTTTTGCTTCTTGGCACTCTTGAGCAATATGCAGAGTATCTATCTACTGACATCTATTTCAGTCTTTGCCTCCTCCTCTGTCTTTGTAATGGCCTTTGTCTTTCTTTATGAATAATTTTTTGTGTGTGTGAGAGAAAAATTTGTATTTACAATTAGCCAGCTCAACTTAGTTTAGATGATCCCAATTTTGTTGGCAACATTCAAGCATCATAGTCAGGAGCAAGTCAAAGACAGGGCTTCTACTCTCCATCAGGCCTAATCAAAGTGTTGGCCTTAGCCACATCAATATCATACAGCTTCTGTACAGCATGTTTGATTTGGTGCTTGTTGGACTTGACATCTACAATAGACACAAGTGTGTTGTTATCTTCTATCTTCTTCATGGCTGACTCAGTGGTCAGGGAAAACTTGATGATGGCATAGTCAAGCTTGTTTCTCTTGGGGCACTCTTCCAGGGATATTTGAGCTGTCTTCAGAGTCTCAGCATCTTAGACCGCCAGAAGGTAGGTGACGTTCAGATCTTTTTGTGTGTATGGTTGTGGGTACATACAATTAAAAGCCTTCTTGGCTTTTAATGCCTTTGCTGTGACTTCATCTCAGAAGAAGATGTCTCAAAAATCATCTGATCTTCATTCATTTGTGTTCAAGGCATTAAAAGAAGATTGAAGGGGTACACAGAGTCACTGTACCAAAAAGAATTGGCTGACGCTTAAGTTAATGAACCAGAATATGATCAAGAGGTAAATGTGATGAAGGAGGAAGTTCAAACTGCTCTGAAGGATTTGGCAAAAAACAAAGCCCCAGGAATTGATGGAATACCAATTGACATATTTCAACAAACAGATGCAGCCCTGTACACTCTCACTAGATTGTGCCAAGAAATCTGGAGGACTGACTGGAAGAGATCCATGTTTGTTCCCATTCAAAAAAAAAAGCAGGTGATCTGAAAGAGTGTGGAAATTATCAAATAATTTCACTGATGCCACACACAAGCAAAATCCTACTGAAGATTATCCAAAAACAATTGGAACAGTACATCGACAGAGAATTATCAGAAATATAAGCTGGGTTTAGAAGAGGTCTTGGCACCAGAGACATTATCACTAATATCAGATGGATCTTGGCTGAAAGTAAAAAGTACCAGAGGAATGTTTATCTGTATTTCACTGACTATGTAAAGGCATTTGACTGTGTGGATCACAATAAATTGTGGCTAACTTTGAGAAGAATGAGAATCCCAGAACACTTGATTGTGTTTGTGAGAAATCTATACTTGGACCAAGAAACAGTCCTTACAACAGAGTAAGGAAACACTGCATGGTTCAAAATCAGCAAAAGAGTATGTCAGGAATGCATCCTATTTCCATACCTTTTCAATATATATGTGGAATAGATCATTTGGGAGGCTGGACTTTATTAATAGGAAATGGCATCAAGATTGGCAGAAGACTCATCAACAGCATACATTATGCAGATGAACTCAGGTGTTTGCTGCAGAAGGTCAAGAACTGTAGACTTCAAGACCAACTGAAGCTCAACATCAAGAAGATAAAAGATTCTCACCACTAAGCCATTTGGCAGCACCATGATGGATGAAGAAGGGATTGAGGGTGCTAACAATTTCAGCTTGCTCGGCTTCACAATCAACACTCTTGGTACCAGCAGTCAAGAAATCAAAAGACAAGTTTTTCTGGGGAAAGATGCTCTCAGGGCCCTCACCAAAGTGGTAAAGAGAAACAATGTCAATCTAGAGACTAAGGTACACCTGATTCAGGCCACAGTGTTCTCAATTACATCAGAGTTCTGGACAATGAGTAGGGTTGGTAGAAGGAGAATTGATGTTTTTGAATTGTGGTGCTGGAGAAAAATATTGAACACACCATGGACTGCCAAGAAAACAAACAGGTTTGTCCTGGAGAGAGTGAAACCAAGCTGCTCCTTGGAGGCAAGGATTTTCTACCTGGACCAGTTCAACCCTGTTTAGCTAACCTGGTGGTTTCCACTCCCAGGAGGTCACCATATTGATGCCAACTTAGTGTGGACACCCAATCTGCAAAGCGCACTACAGCCCAGAGCTCCTGGACTCAAGCAATCCTCCAGCCTCAGCCTCCTGAGTAGCTGGGACTACAGGCTCACACCACCATGGCCAGTGCAGGCAAGGATTTTGAAACTCCATTTCACATCCTTTGGGCATATGGCCAGGAGGGACCAGTTCCTGGAGAAGGACATCATACTTGGAAAAATGAAGGGACAGCACAGGAGAGGAAAACCGTGAATAAGATGGATTAACTCCGTGACTGGGAGAAGGTGTGTCCAAGACAGTGAGACTGACTCAGAATAGAGCAAGAATTCAGAGTTATTTTACATAGGGTTGCTATGAATCGCAGGCATCTCGATGGCACGTAACAACTGGTTATTCAGTTTTATGGTTTATTGTTCAAAACACTGGTGTATAGATTGTTTTTTAAACTAAGTTGGGGATTTCTGTCCATAGGAGGCCTGGCACACACCACTGTGGTTCACAGAAAAGGAGCTCAGGGTATTTCTTGTTTTATTTCACAAAAGCAGAGTTTCTGTCTTTCCCAGGAGGCTTTGTCTATTGTTCTTGGTGTCATGGGGAAGACTGGATGGTTGTGTGTACGTCAGTGTCATCTGAGATGCCAGCTCCCTGCATTCCTGCACAAGCTTTGCAAAGACCGTAGACCTGCTCTTGCCAGTCAGATTTTGGACCAAGGAAAGGAGTAAGATTGGTACTGGGATGAAGAAAGAGATGCAGAAGCATGGGAGACGTGTCAGCTTTCATAATTTGTTTTATTAAAATCACTCTTAAATGTATTAGATGATTGGATCACACACAAAAAAGGAATAAACTAAATCAGGGGATTCAGTTGTTTGAAAATATGGACCCAAACACACTGATCACTTTGGTACGTTGATAGGCAGTCAGGAAGCAAAGCCATGTTAATGAAGGGGGAAAAGCAAGAACCATACAAACAACTCTCAGTAATTTTCTAACTAAAAATGTCAACCCCTTTTGCAATGGTAATCCAGACCTTCCCTAAGTAGAAACTTTCCACACTTGGAGTTATTACCACACTGACAAAATGCCAGTATAGTCCAGCTCTTCTTCACTCTCTTTGTAACGTTTTATAATCTGTGCATTTGTTATGCGTGCCTCCATTAAAATATTGCCTGTAAGTGTATATGCTATGTTTCAACTCCTTAAAGGGAAAGATTAGATTTGTAAAGATACTAAAAATAAAAAGCAATAACAATGAAAAAGTATTTCACTTACATCAGAACTGACTGAGGAAGGAGTTATTGGAAGGGAAATGCCATAAATTGAGTATTACATATATCTACCTCACAGGGTTGTTGCAAATATGATAGTATTGTAAGCAATGTGGGGTAGTAGCTTTTACAAAATTGGAATCAGATCTCATTGCCAACACCTTTTTTAAAAATTAATTTTAATGAAAGTTTACAGACTTTGAACTTCCATTCATATAATGTTGCATATTTTCCTCCCTGCCCACCGCTTCCCCCAGTTCCCTTTTCTCTTTGAAAATTTGAAAAAAATTATTTCACTGTTATACAACCCCCCTCCTCCAGTCCACTCCACTATGCAGCTTTCACTCTGAACTCTTGTCATGACAATAATACCTAATCATATATCGCTTTTAAATAATTGTCTCCCTCGTCTGTTTCAATGCAGTATATATTATTCATCCCCTCTTTTCTTAGTTTCCCTCCAACCCCAATGTCAGTCCCGCTTTACAACTGTGGCATTATAAAGTATTTGTCTTTTTGTGACTGAGATATTTCACTCAGCATAATGTCCTCCAGGGTTACCCATTTTGTATAATATTTCATGAATTCCTTGTTTCTCAATGCTGCATAGTATTCCATTGTGTGAATATACAACAGATTCTCTATCCATTCGTTTGTTGATGGGCACTTGGGTTGTTTCCAACTCTTTGCTATTGTTAACAAAGCTGCAATAAACATGGGTGAGCATATATCTGCTTGCGTGGCAGTTCAGGTTTCCTTAGGATTTATTACCAGCAGTGGAATTGCTGGGTCAAATGGTATTTCTATTTATTTCCAGCTTTGTGAGAAAGTGTCATTCAGCTTTCCAAAGTGGTTGCACCATTTTACACTCCCACCAACAGTGAATAAGGGTGCCAGTTTCTCCTCACCAGCATTTGTTGTTTGCTTTTCTGTTCAATTTTGCTGTTATTAATGGTATCTCATGGTTATTTTGCCAGCACCTTTTCAAGGAAGCCTTCTCTGACGGGCTCTTCCAGATCAAATCCCCTTTGTGCGCTTACAGGAGTTTCTTCCTTCCCAGCATTCATCTCAACTGTCAGGTTACATTAATGTGTGTAGTCATTTGATTATCTTCTTGCTCTAGACTGCAAATTTTAGCAAGGTAAGGTTTTGCACACGGACTTGTCACGTAGAATTTCTTCAATAAATATTATTGGATAAATTAAGATTTGAACTCGCATTTGTATTCACTGTAGATTTGATTGGGAAGACCACAGACAAGGCACAATGACATAGTGACTTTAACAATGAGCTGGAACATGTCAAAAGACTGCCAGAATGGCGCAGACTAGGCTAGAGTTCTGATCTGTTCTTCATAGGGTCTCTACCAGTTTCAGTCCGCTCGAGGGCTTCTGGTAAATTTGAGTACTTCGTTTAGTCTGGAAAAAGAAAATGGTTATACAAAGAGTTTGGGTAACACAGTGAGTATCACACTAGCTGGTAACAAAGGCATGCGCTTCCAGAGGTTCTAATGCACCGGCGGAGTTGAGGGAGACAGGAAGTCTGCTCGCATTTAAATTCACAGCTTCCCAAACTGGACTGTTGTCAGAAGCCACTGGATGGATGGCGGTGAGTTTGAGTTACAACTTTAATGCAAGACACTACAGAATGAGATAATGTAGCTGTTAAGCCTCTACGAGACAGTATTATAAATTCCAAAGGACCAGAAGAAGCGGGAACAGTTCTTTCACACCTCAGTCTAGAACACAACTGGCACCGAGCGAAGCAAAACTGTTCGTTCCCTCCCTTCCGTACGGCGACCCAAGATGGCGGGGCCCAGTGCTTCCAAACCACGCAGAGACGGCAGCTCCGCCCCCCGCCGCGCACCGCCTCGGGAGCCACGCCTCTTCCGCCCTCTCCACTGCGTTATGGCTGTTGCGGCGGCTCGTCTTCTCGGTGAGTGTTGGGGGGGCGGTCGGTGGGCTCCGCGGCCAGCCGTCCCCTCGCCGGTGGTGCGGCTTTCCCTCACCTCTGCCCCGTTTGCCATTAGGTGTCCGGAGGCTGCACTGCAGCGCGGCGGCTCGGGCGGGCGGCTTCTGGCGGCTGCAGTGAGTTGTTGGCGGGGCTGGGGAGATGGGAGGGCCCGGGCCGGTCGGGGACCTCACCTGGCACCTTTTCTCCTTCAGGCAAGGCTGGGCTGCCAACCCCTCGGGCTACGGGCCCCTTACGGAGCTTCCGGACTGGTCTTACGCGGGTGAGCGCGCATGTTGCCCTTCATCTTAAGAGATTTCCAGCCAGATGGAACTCCCGCCCCGTCATGGAGAGAGTCTGGGGGTGTCAGAGTTGGGCAGCCAACTGCAGAAGGAATTTAACTTCTTGTTTGGAAAACAGAGGCTTTAGATGAAGACACTTTATCTCTATTTTGTAAATTACCGAGGAAAATAAAGCTAGTAGGCGTGTAAGGGATAAACAAGATGATTCTGACTCAGGACTGCCCGCAGTGGGAACGGGCTACTTTCCTAAAAAACAAAACAAAAACACCTCGTTACTATCAATTCAGAACTGACCCACCAGCAGGTTTTTGGAAGCTATAAATTGCAAGAGAAAATACTAACTATCTCCTGAAGCTGATGGTGGATTCAAATTGACCGCCTTTAAGTTAGCCATGCACCTCCTACAAACGAGGCCACCAGGATATATAGGTGTTTTTAAAAAGGTAGAAATCACTGCCTTTTCTGTGGTGAATGCACTGTTAAAAGAGTTTGGTAACCAAATGAGCATCTAAGAGTGATGTTTAAGGATGGTAGACTCTCTTCAGAAAAAGAATTTTCACCTTTACTTTTTTAAAAGAAGGAACAGGGAGCGCTCTGGTGGCCTAGTGGCAAGAGGCTTTACTGCAGTCTCAGAGGTGAGCGGTTCCAATCCACCAGATGCTCTGTTGGAGAAGGAGGGGCAATCTCCTCCTGTACCAGTCAGATCTAATTTTACGGTATACACACACTCACTAAAAATAAATTTTAAAAAGGAGCAGAAAAGATATTAGTCTTAGAAGAGACATGAGAGAATTTTAAGCCATTACCTACTCTCTCCATGTAGTTTATAGAAATAAATTAACTGCAGACACAAGTAGGATGTAGTTAAGCCAGGACTAGAACTAAGCAGGAGCCAGTCCACCTTTACAACACAGATCCTGGATGTAGGTGCCGGCTGTAGGAGAAGGCTCTGCTCTGTCGATTCCAGAGGGAGGTCCTTGTTTCCTTAAGCATTTGTAGACCCAGCATTCTCTGGAGATCTCAAGGTCTTGGCCTTCCTCTGTGTTGAGGAACTTCCATTGCAGGGACGTAGGTTCAAGAGGGTACACTGATACACTCCACTCCTGACAGTTCTTCCTTCATACTCGGCTCCCCCATCTCTCTTCACATTGCTTTCCTTTTATACCAGCTGATACAGGCTACAACCCAGGGAATGCCTCCCTTGTATTAGATCCGAGCTATGGTGCAATTAAGGGTGTTGCACCTTTGACAGTTGTGGCAGATTATTGCAGAACTTCTACATTACTTCATTACATACATGTATTTTGGGGAGCATACAATTCAATCCATGCCAAATGCCTACACTGCACTATGCAAGCCTTGATCCCAAGGAACTAGAAGTCTCACTGGGAAAGCAGAACATAGACATTTTTCTTTTAAAGGAACATTTTAAAAATTAATTAAAATGTCAGTACTTTCCCACTTTTCCAAAACAATTTGAGACATCTAAATAACAATACAATAGCACAAGAAATACCCCAAAGTGAATAGATTAATATTAAATTATACATAAGCATGTCTTTTCAGAAGTTGTTGAAATGTTTCTGGGAATTTAAAGTTTGAGGTGGTAAAAAAACCCAAACCCAAAACCTGATCCAAAAAAGTGATTAGAAGGAAAAGAGCATTTTGTCATGGATTAGGATGGAATTTAGTGCAAAAATCCAGTAGAGCAGAGATCAGATCCCTTGAGTGGAGAGTTTCTGAAGCTAAAACTCAACATAGCTGTGCAGAATACCTTGATTTCTTCAAGCTAAAGCACTCTGGTGGCCTAGTCCAGAGGAAGTTTCGCTGCTTACCCAAAGATGGCACGTCTCTGCTTTTTCCAGCAACTCTGGGAGAAGGATGGGCAGCCTCTTCCTGTGCAGTTTACAGCTTCCGAAAACCTGATAGTAGGTCAGATATGAGTCATGACCTAATTGATGGCAGTGAGTTCAGTTGTTTGAAAGAGTGAAATTGAATATGAGGCTTAGGAGCTTAGTGTAAAATAGAGGAGAGGCACTACAGAGATTGGTTCTCCCCTTATTCCTATCACAGTGTTGCACAGTGTGCTACAGACAATCTCTTTAACACTTGCCTTTATGTCATTTCTAATTGCAGATGGTCGGCCTGCTCCTCCAATGAAAGGCCAGCTTCGAAGAAAAACCGAAAGGGAGAAGTTTGCTGTGAGTGACTAGAGATTCTGGCTGGTACTACCTGTCTATTATCAGAGAAAGAAAATTCAAATTGTAATTTGTTTTGCGCTCTGTCAGCATCTGTGCTAACATGTTAGGACTTTAACAGAGATGGGAGGAAGAGTGGGACACCCCTCAAGCAGAAAACACATAGGAGACATTCTGCCCCACATTTTACTGCCTTCCTCCTGCTCCCAGACCCAGGACATGGTCCCCGCCCCTTCCCCAGTCAGCAGTGTCATTTTCCAGCTGAAACCTCTGACTTTGATCTCTGAGTGAAAGGATATATGGTGCAGAACAGAAAGGCCCAGATGTTATCCACAGTGTTTTCCTGTCTGTTACAGAGACGAGTGGTATTGCTCTCACAGGAAATGGAAGCTGGATTAAAGGCATGGCAGCTCAGGCAGCAGCAGAAATTGCAGGAAGAAGAAAGGAAACAGAAAAATGCTCTTAAACCCAAAGGGGCTTCACTACAGAGCCCACGTCCAAGTCAATAAAAAGTAACTTGCCTTTTCTCCCACCACTCCTTAGCTTCTTTCATTGTTTTTTTAATTTTATTTCAATAAATATATGTGTAACAAAACAATAACCTATTCAATTTTTTACTTGTTTAATTCAGTGACATTGATTACATTCATCATGTTGTACAACCATTATTAGTATTCTCTTCCAAATTTTTCTGCCACCATCAACAGAAACTCAGCATCCCCTAAGCAGATAATTTCATAATCTTTGATTTCTGTACATTTCCTGTTTAATATAAATGAGATGATACAGTATTTGTCCTTGGGTTTCACAACATATTTTCAAGGTTCATCCATGATGTAGCATATATGAGGACTTCATGACAATCATAATATTTCTCTCTCATTACTGTCAAGTTGGAACCAACTTGGAGCTGACCCCACAGTGGGTTTTTAGAAACTAAAAAGGAGGAGATTCCCTATCCTTTTACCACAAAGAAAATCAAAAGACTAATTGCGCTGGGAAAGTGCTGTCCAGGACCTCTCCAGAGTCCTGAAGATCAACAGTGTCATTCAGGAGACTAAGGTGCACATGATCCAGGCCATGGTCTTTGCAGTTACTTGCTATGCATCAGAAAGGTGGACAGTGACTAGGGATGATAGAAATAATTGATGCCTTTAAGGTGTGGTGCTGGGGAAGAGAATTGACTATACCATGGACTTCCAGAAGAACAAACAGGTTCGTCTTAGGGTGAAACCAGGCTACTCCTATGAGGCAGGGATTCTTAGGCTTCATCTGATACACTTTGGATATGTTGCAAGGAAGGACCAGTCCTTAGAGAGGGATGTCCTTGGCAGGGTGTAAGGACAGTTCAAGAAGGGAAGACCCTCAGTGAAATGGATTGATTCAGTAACTGGGGTAATGAGGATAGATGTGCCATGGATAATGTTGAGTCAGGATAGAGAGGAATTGAGCTGACCTTTCAGAGGCAGTTAATCACATGGAGATTACCTATCCTCTTGCAAACCAGCTGGACTAAAATTGCATCCCTCTGGTTTGGGAACACGTTTTACTACCAGACCACCAGATAGCTAGATATGTCCTGTGCTCTGATGGCATAATCTGGAGGGAGATGTGCTGCTGTCAGTTCCTACGAAACCATGTATATTACAGTTTATACATTTACTGATGGACATTTAAGATACTTCACTTTCTGGCTAATGTGAGTAGTACTACAATGAACATTGGTGTACAAATTCTTTGGCTTGTTTTTTCCATCAACCACTAGTCAAAATGAGTGTTTTATGTTTAATGAACTGACTGGTAGAACCCCCAGGATTTTAGCCCTTAAACACCCTTCAAAATATAATAGACTTCCAGAAACCATGTTATAGTCAAATAAAAGGCAGGTGTATATATTAAATAGTAACATGCGTGCAGAACATGTTTCTCAGAACATTGACTTATCCCAGATCAAAAGAGTAGCATCTGCCCAAAAGCAAAATTTGAGAAGGCAGGGAAGCAGGCGAATGGAGCCTAGGAACCCAGGATGGAAGCAAGGAGAATGCTCACACATAGAGGGGACTGCATCCAAAGAATGGAAAACTAATTTGGTTTTAAGGTCACCTAAACAAATTTTTTAAAAAAACCAACTGTAAGATCATTGAGGTTTGGTTCAGTGCCCTCATTCTAGCTTCATTCCAGTTTGGTTGAATCTTCATTTTCAGGTCATAGGTTTGGCATAAGTAGTAGTTGGAGCTTCCCTGTCTGACAGCTCATACATAGTTCAGATGATGTGCAACTAAATTAGACATCTAATGTTTAAAAATTTTCAAGGTCCATTTTTTGGCAAGAAACTGGTACCAGTTTTCCCAAAGTCAAGATAGAGGAGGACAATACCACTGAAAGGCTGACGAAGAACCAGCCTATTGCATGCTTTATTTGAGTTCCTGAGGTCTCCCTTGTTAATTCTGACAATTCCAGAGGCTAATTGAAAATGAAAGGTGACCCAACAGACTGCAGAGAACTGCCTAAAGTGCAGGCTGGGTTTAAAAGAGGCTATGCTACTAGGATAATATAGCTAATGTAAGCTAATGTAATGTAATCTTGGCTGAAAGTAGAGAGTACCAGAGGAATGTCTATCTGGGTTTCATTGACTATACAAAGGCATTTGACTATGTGGATCACAACAAACTGTGGCTGACTCTTAGAAGAATGGGAATCCTAGAACATTTGATCATGCTTATGCAAAACCTATACTTGGACCAGGAGGCAGTTGTCAGAACTGAACAAAGGAACACCGCATGGTTCAAAATAGGGAAGGGTGGACACCGGGGATGTGTCCTATCTCCATACCTTTTCAACCTGTATGCAGAACAGATTATCCAGGAGGCTGGGCTCTATGAAGAGAAATGTGGCATCAGGATTAGAGGTAGACTTATCAACAATCTACATTATAAAGATGACACAACCCCGTTTCGTGAAACAGAAGATGACCTGAAGTACTTGCTGCAGGTCAAGGACTACAGCTCTCAATATGGATTGAAACTCAACATCAAGAAAACAAAGATTCTCACCACTGGATCAATTGGCAGCATTATGACAGATGGTGAAGAGATTGAGATGTTGACAGCTTTAGTTTGTTTGGCTCCACAATCAACACTCTTGGTCTAGCAGCCAAGAAATTAAAAGATGAATTACATTGGGGAAGTCTGCTGTCAAAGACCTCTCAAAAGTACTATAGAGCAGCAATGTCAGTCTAGAGACTAAGGTGTACCTGATCCAGGCCATAGTCTATAGTTACTTGCTATGCATCAGAAAGGTGGATAATGACTAGGGAAAATAAAAGAATTGATGTCTTTTGAGCTATGGTGCTGGAGATGAGTACTGAATATACCATGGACTGCTAGGAGAACAAACAGGTCCATCCTAGAGAGGGTGAAGCCAGGCTGCTCCTTGGAGACAAGGATTCTGAAGCTTCATCTGACATACTTTGGACATGTTGCAAGGAGGGACCAGTCCTTGGAGAGGGACGTCATGCTTGGGAGGGACAGCGCAGGAGAGGAAGACCCTCGATGAGATGGATTGATTCAGTGACTGAGGTAATAAGGATAGGTGTGTCAGAGATAATAAGGTTGACTCAAGATGAAACAGGGTTCAAAGCTGTTGTTCATAGGATCACTATGGCTACAAACAACTCGACAGCACATAACAACAATTGAAAATGGGCATGCCCACTATCCTCACCCCAGTTTATATAGGGAATCAAAAAAAGTGCTCAAGGAACTCTGGTGGCATTTTAAGACATTCATTCAGCTGCCTGCTTACCAAAAGGGTAGCAGTTCAAAAGCCCCTCCACAGGAGAAAGGCCAACTTTTTCCATAAAGATTTATAGTCTTGGAAACTCTATAGGGCAGTTCAACTCTATCTTTCAGGATCACTGAGTTTAAATCGATTGGATGCTGTGGATGTGGGTGGTCACTGTGGGATGACTGCCATTTTACTGATAATGGATATGAACCCAACTTTTCTTCCATTCTTCTTCCACCAACATGTGATAGTTCCTGGATACCTAGAATTTCTAGACTTTTTTTTTTGGGGGGGGGTCTGGCCTAATTTTTGTCTTCTAGCTTTTCATTCCTTGCTTTGTCTCCCTCTTTCCCTCCACTCACTCCTTCCTCTCTCGCTGACCAAGTACAATTCTTGGATCTTAGATTTCGCTGATGGTCGAATTTTCTTTCTCCCACACTTTTCCTGCTTCCGTTGTGCTGCTGTTCCAGATTTAGTTCTCAACCTCTTATCTGGCTCCCTTTCCCACCATCAGTTTAATCACCCCACCTCTCCCCAGCATACCTTCATCTTTTGTTCTCGGTTCCTGGGCAGTCTTGAAGGAGCTTTTTACTTTTTAAGAAATTAATTGCTTCCTTTTTAAGTATCTGGTGAAAACGAAACATAAGAGGTCTGACACCTAGTACCTTTCTCCCAAGAGTCTCACCAGTATTCCCCAGATTCCATGGACTTGGATCCCTTTCCTCATAGTTAAAGAGCAGACAGATTGCAAATGACAGTAATAGAATGCTTTTTATCTTTCTACAAGGAAGGATCTCCAGATTCAGCGTGGTTGTGGAGTTTGTTATTTCTCCTCCCTAACCCCCCATTTTTTGTTGGCAAAAGGCAGGAGGGATGATAAGAATAAAGGGTAAAAGTTTCAAGTTGGTGGAGGCAAAGGTACCACCAGCACTCAACTCCTGTTAGTAAACTGACCCCTTTCCCCAGCCCCGATCTCCTAGAAGAGACCCCTTTTCTGGGAGTTCCAGCCAACCTTGAGTTCCTTGTTAGCCCCAGCTACTGAACTTCCCCAAACTTCCCACTCTGAGGTGAGACAAATGCTGAGTAGCAGAGAAATCTGGCCACCCAAAATATGCTTAGAAGGAGAAAGTCTCCCACATCCCGTCCCCTGGGTCCTCCCAGAGCCCCCTACTCTCAGCCATAGCCTCAACCCCTGCAGATGGCAGCCTGCACCACAGAAGACAACTTGGGCTGTTTCTTCTTTTTTTTCTCCAGCCAGTGGCTGTAATTGGATTCAGACTGAAACAACCACGTCCCCACCAGGAAAGGAGGGCATTGGGGCTGGGGCGGGGGCGGGGAGAGGCTGCGGGGAGAAGGGAGGGATCAGAGCAGAGCGCGAGAGAGAGGACTCCCGGTCAGTTCGCCGACTAAGCAGAAGAAAGACCAAAAAGAAAAAAAAAAAAAATAGCAAAGAGAAGCGCAAGCGGGCATTTTCAAGAGTTATTTCCTCGACTCCAAGCCGCAGGAATCTAAGTCCAGTATCTGTGGAAGACAAAGGCGAGGTGGGCGACCCCAGGGCGTGGGCCAGGCCGCGGAGCGCGCACGGCTAGGCTGCCCCGACGGCCGCCGCGGACCATGTCTCCCGCTCCAAGGCACGCTCGCAGGCTGCTGCTCCCCCTGCTCACGCTCTGCTCGGTGCTCGCCGCGCTCAGCTCGGCCCAAAGCAGCTTCAGCCCAGAGGTAAGTGAGCTCCTTAGCCCCTATTCCAAGAAGAGGCTGCTCAGATCTGCAGGACCCTCCTCCATTCCTTTCCCTCCTTGTCTCCTAACTTCCAACTCAGTCCAACTTTTGCCTGCCTCCATTCTCCTGCACTCCCCAGGCTTGCTTTCCCACTCCTTCCTTTCCTTGGAAGAACTTTTTTTTCAGAGATAGGCCACCATCCCCCAATTCCCCTGAGCTCTGAGCTCAGCTCTGGAACCAGTTGGGAGCTGGATAAATATTTGGACACTGCTCAACCCCGCGTTGCCGGGTTTCTAGTCATGTGCGAGTTTGTTGTTCCTCCAGCCTTCCAGCTCGCCAGTGCACTCTGTCGCCTGAGCGCCCTACACCTCAGCTACCCCTTTCCGCCTCCTTGGGACCCTCGCGCACCCACTCCACCGGCCAGATGCAGTTGTGGGTAGATTTGTGGAGCGGACCTGCCCCGCCATCCCTGCTTCCCTGGGAAGACCCTGCTGCACCGGGCCTGGAGCTCTGGGCGTCAAGGGTCGCAAGCTGGTGCCCTGGCCTCCTTCCCTTGCACACAAAGCTCTCCTTGTGAGCCCCGGGCTTGGCCTAGCCGGCTCCTCCTACCCTCATTGGGCGCCTTCAGGCCCTTTCTTGTTAATTGCTTTTCTGTGTTAATTGCAGGGAGATTGGGGGTGTCACCTGGGGAGTGAATAGAAGTTCTGGCTGAGGGCACCCACATATCTCCCAGACTGACTTTGGTGACCCCCACCCCTGCCCCTGCCCCTGTCCTGGCACTGGCCCACCGGGCCGAGAGGAAGCAGCGTGGGAGTTGTCTGAGGAGGTTTTTCCTCGCTCTCTCTTATTTTGGGGTGAAGGTGGGAGACGGATTTAATCAGTTTCTTATTTTGGGTCATCCCAACCCACTCTGCCCGGCGAGGGCCTGGGCGCGGTAGGGAGGGGCCGGGAAGGGCCCACAAAGAGGGAGGGAATCTGGACTTGGCTTCCTTTGCCCTGTCCCACCCCCAGATGAAACTTCTCCAGAAAGAACAGTTTTTCTGTCCCTGAAGGAATCTGGGACTCTCTAGAAAACTGTACCCCTAGGAGTCTGGGTCAAGGATCCATAGTGGGGTTCAGTGACCAAGGAGAGAGAAAATCTGCCCAGGGTGGTAGAGTAAACCTAACAGGCCTAAGGAAACTAGCCTAACAAAAGGAGCCTGGGCATTTAGGGTCTCCCGTCTGCCAACTTCTGCAGTGCCTGCCTTCCCTCTGGTCTGCCAGGTCCCCAGGGGAGGAGCGGCCGCCCTGGCTCCTTTTAAAGTGGGTCATGGGCAGTCCCAATGCCAGAACCACCATTTGCTCCTGGGCCATGAAAGGGTGGGAGACAGAGGAAGGGAGGAACAGGCCAAAACCTAAGATCAAGAGGGTCTGCTCATCAAGAACCAGAGATCCAGCAGCTCTGCCAGAAACCCTGGACAGAGCTGAGGGAAGTTTCCTGACTTTTTTCTAAAGGAATGGATTCTTGCAGTCCCTCATTCCTAAGGACAAAGCTAGTGGACTGAGTTCTTTAACCCAAAATAGTTGTTCCAACTCCAGGCCAATGTGGAAGGAGAGCTGGGTTGCCCCAGGCGTGGGAGAGCCAGTCCCTCCAGGCCCCCCCCAATCCTGCACCAGTTCCAGGACTACCCTCTCCTCTCTTTGGCCTGTCTGGTCTCAGCCCTTCCCCACACCCAGCCACAGACAGAGTCTTCTCTTCTGTGGTTCTGACCTCATAGTCAGCTCTGTAGTTCCTGCTTTGCTCAGAGCTTGTCCTTGAGAGATGGAGGGAAGCAAGCCTGGGTAAAGATGGACAGATGTGCTTCTTGTCCAGGCATTGTGACTCTCTTGCTAAGTTCCATTTCTTTCTATATAGTGTGAGGCTGAAGTTGTAGATGTAAATATTTAGATTTGCCTTCCTTCTTTTTTTTTAAATTTTATTTTCTGTTATTATTTTGTGTGTGTGTACCATCAAATCGGATCTGACTGGTACAGGAGGAGATTGCCCCTCCTTCTTCGGCAGAGCATCTGGTGGATTTGAACCGCGTACCTCCGGGATTGCAATGCAGCTTCTTGCCACTAGTCCACCAGAGCCCCCAATTTGCCTTCCTTCTTGAAACTCCCTCTGACCTACCAATTAAGGAGTTGTGCCGCCAGCTCAGAGGCAGGCAGTTCAAATCCACCAGCTCCCCCAAGAGCAGCTTCTTCCCTGAGATTGTAGGCAGTCTCCTTCCATGTGATTTATAGCCTCTTAAAATCTGCTGGAGGATCAGCTATGAGTCAGTTGTGACTTGATGGCACCTAACAACACCACCTCCTTGAAGGACTCAACTGGTAGAATTATTTACCCTAGACATCCACCTGAATGGGCATTCTCCCTACTTCTACTGTTCTCCCTTCAGTTATCCTGCCCTTAGGAAATCATCTTAGCTTTACTGTATGAGAACTGAGAGGCCTTGGCCTCTGTCCTACTCACATTCAGCTCTAAAAGTGGGTTGCTCCCAAGCAGCTGCTTTCCCTTCAATGATTATAAGCCTCAAGTGTGCCTACCCTACAGGTAAGGCTAGGGACAAAGGGAGTTTCCTGCATACTTGGGCACAGGTCACAGCAGGCCTCCCATGGGCACTGCTGTGGCATCAGCCAGCGCAGGTCAGGGCAAGTCCATAGCTCCTGGAAAGCAGCCCACGATGGGAGCACCCTGTGTAGCTAAACTTGAAGTTAAACTGTGTAGCTAACCTGTGAAGTTAAACTTCACTCCCTGCTGCACCAATGAGAAGAGGTTCTGGCCAAGCCTTTTGGATGGGAAGAGGCTGGGTTGTTGTTTACATCCGGGGCCCATACTCTCGTCATGAGGGATCACTTCCCAAAACCATGTTGCAATTCCTCCTCTGTGGGCTAAGGTCCCCAATCAGCTGCTCCTGAATCACACTCAGCCTCACTGCAAGGGCATTGCTCCCATACTCAAGGCCTGGAGGCACAGGGCCTCATGGAGATCAATGTTCCTGCCCTATGTGGGGAGAATAGACGATACAGCATCCAACTACAGTTTATACCATTCTCCCCTCTAAGTTCCTATTCTTGGCAATTTGCAGCCTCACTCTGGGATTCTTTAAAAGGCAAAGCAAGGGTAGGATTAGAGCTGTCTAAGGAGCATCTCCACATGAAAAAAACCAAATATCTTCATGTTTCATAACCATCCTGGTTCATTTTACTTTTTACTTTTAAGGCTTTAGGAAAATAGTAGTTCTTATGATAAAAGCTAACTTTTCTTCTTTGTACTTTTCAGTCAGCTATCAAGAACTCCATTTTAATTGAAGGCACATATAACAACCTTTAAGTTATGAACAATTCACTCTGTCCATAATAAAATACCAATTTAAAGCCTCCATTACCTCTGTCTTCCATCTCCTGCTCCCTCTTTGGGCTACTATGAACCTTAAACAGGGCTTAAATCCCATCAGCTTTAGGTCAGAGTTTGCTTGGGTGGGGACAGTGGCAGGGATAATGGCTTGAGCTGAATCACCCCTCTTACTAAGTCCAAATCCTTCAGCTTCCCCTTTCAGCATCCAGCCTCAGCCCTAACTTACTTCCTTTCTTAAAAGACCTCTGGATCCTAGAAGCATGGGCACCCCTGTTCCAGGAAGCCTCATGCCAGGCCCTGTTGACCTTGAGGCTGCCCATCCTCCTTACCTCTCACTATGGGCACAGCCCTTTCCTACATGGGGCTTGTGCTTGCAAGAACATGGATACAGAGGAGAAAAGTACTAAAAGGAATCACAGCTCTTAGATGACAACTCAAGACTCATTATTAAATCATGAGATCACCTATCCTTAAGAGAGATACAGCCAAAGTCCAGAGCTTATAACTCTCCACCTCTGTTTGAGTTCAAATTCCAAGAGAAAAGCCATGTTGGGGCCTGACCAGAGCTCAGCTCTAGCCTGGGAGTCCCCTGAGACCTCTGCCAGGCTGGAATCTATTGCCTTTCCTCATCGAACAGAGGGTGCATGCCAGGTACTGTGGGGGAGGCAGTAGCTCCCTGTGGGTCAGGTGGGGATGCTCTAAGGCAGACCCCTTTCCTACAGGCCTGGCTGCAGCAATATGGCTACCTGCCCCCTGGGGACCTTCGTACTCACACGCAGCGCTCACCCCAGTCACTTTCAGCTGCCATCGCTGCCATGCAGAGGTTCTATGGTTTACGTGTGACAGGCAAAGCTGATGCAGACACCATGAAGTAAGTGCTAGACCTTGGCAGGAAGTCTTCTGCCCCTGCACCACTGATACTGAAGACCAGTAATACTGCTGTTGGATGTCTGGCTCCTACCATTCAGAGCCCATCCCTACATGCTGATCCTGACCCTCTAATATCCACCTGACCTCTTAACCTTGAGTTTTCCCCATGTGACCCTACTCCTATACCTAATAAATCTATCCTCGCACTGACCTGACCCCCAACATTCCAACTCTTCCCTGTAGACCTTTCTCTTTAAAACCTGGTACTGACCTCAGTCTTCAATCCACCATAGGGCCATGAGACGCCCCCGCTGTGGTGTTCCAGACAAGTTTGGGGCTGAGATCAAGGCCAATGTCAGAAGGAAGCGCTATGCCATCCAGGGCCTGAAATGGCAACATAATGAGATTACTTTCTGGTGAGTCCAACAGGCAAGCAGCCTTTCTCACATCTAGTTACCCTTACTTATCAGCTGAGCTTACACAGGGGCACAGAGACTTCCCATCCTTTCACCTCTGTTTAGGGAAAGCATCGCTGGGAGTGGGGAAGAAAATCCTAGAGAAAGATGCAGCCAGTGGTGTTGTACCTTATCACCAGTAAGCCAAGTTCTAGGGTCCCCTGAAACCCTTAGTTCTTGAAATGGAAGCATCATGAAGGAGTAAGGAAAACCAAAGTTGGGCAAAGGTGGCGGGGCAGTTCAGTTTAGACCTGGGAGAATGCCGGGAAGAAGAATATTGCCCCTTGCTATCCTAACACCCCCATCCTCTCCCCACGTGACTGGACCTCAGCATCCAGAATTACACCCCCAAGGTGGGCGAGTATGCCACATTCGAGGCCATTCGCAAGGCATTCCGCGTGTGGGAGAGTGCCACACCGCTGCGCTTCCGTGAGGTGCCTTATGCCTACATCCGTGAGGGCCATGAGAAGCAGGCCGACATCATGATCTTCTTTGCCGAGGGCTTCCATGGCGACAGCACACCCTTCGATGGCGAGGGTGGCTTCCTGGCCCACGCCTACTTCCCAGGCCCCAACATTGGAGGGGACACCCACTTTGACTCTGCCGAGCCCTGGACTGTCCGGAATGAGGATCTTAATGGTGAGCGAGGTAGCCCTGGGCTCTTAATCCAAGGAGAGCCTGTGATCATCTCTATGGGTTCTCTCAATACCTCAATCCTCAAAACTGAGGTCTAGAAGAAGCCACAGTGGTCCTCTGGTCTGCAGAGATCCTGACTTGAGCTACTAATGTCTGGTCCCTTCCTTGCCTGCTAACTACCTTCTCAAAATTTTAAAGAATCCTTATTACCTACTCTTTCAGGCAAATGTCATGGCTAGCTCTTGGGAGAAACTGGGATGCAAAGCATTTGCTGAGTGACTTTATGCTTTATTGCCAGTTGTGAGGCTGGATCTTAGGATTTGGTCATTTGGGACATAAGGCAGGCTGACTTGGGTGTAAAACTGAAGGGACATCCAGGCTGTCATCTCTCACATCATTGTAACCTGCCCCCTCCAGGAAATGACATCTTCCTGGTAGCTGTGCATGAGTTGGGCCACGCCTTGGGCCTTGAGCATTCCAATGACCCCTCGGCCATCATGGCGCCCTTTTACCAGTGGATGGACACAGAGAACTTTGTGCTGCCTGATGACGACCTCCGGGGCATACAGCAACTTTACGGCAAGTAATCAACTCCCGCGCTTGTTCCTTTCTTGAAACCCCATGAGATCTCTCAGGTCTGCATTCTTCCCTTCGCATTCTATCCCTATCTCCCTGTCCTACATAGTCACTTCTCACCTCTCCAACCCTGCTTCGACCACATCAGCTCCCACTTTGTTTCCATTCCTTTTTTACTTCTCAAGCTAATTTCAAGCAGCTCCCCCAGAAGCCCATGCACACCTTTCCAAGGCTGTTGTCTGCCCTTCTATCTGTTATGTCTGTTCTTCTCCCCCTCTGCTACCATTTCTGAAGTGCCCTTGTGTTCTCTGTCCCAGGAAGTGGGTCAGCATCCCCCACCAAGATGCCACCTCACCCCAAGACTACCTCCCGGCCTTCTGTCCCTGATAAGCCCAAAAACCCCACCTATGGACCCAACATCTGTGATGGGAACTTTGACACCGTGGCCGTGCTCAGAGGGGAGATGTTTGTCTTCAAGGTGAGAGGAAGAAGAAATGGGCTGGGTTTGGGGGGTAAGAGGACTTTGTGGTTGGGAGGCTGGATGGAAACAGCAGCAGGAGGACTAACCTAAAATCACTGTGTGAGGACAGTTGGAGAGCTATGCACATTTAGCTACAGAAGATGATGTACTCTCTTCTGACCCTGATTGGCTTACAGGAGCGGTGGTTTTGGCGGGTGAGAGATAACCAAGTGATGGATGGTTACCCAATGCCCATCGGCCAGTTCTGGCGGGGCTTGCCTGCATCCATCAACACTGCCTATGAGAGGAAGGATGGCAAGTTTGTCTTCTTCAAAGGTAACCAGGCATCCCCGCACCCCGAGTCTTTAGGGGTGGAGACTTTCTGAAAGGGCTGATTCTAGCTGACTCCTCCAAAGACCCTAGAGCTCACATTGAGTCTAGCTCTTAATCCTTTGTTCTCACAGGAGACAAGCACTGGGTGTTTGATGAGGCTTCACTGGAACCTGGCTACCCTAAGCACATTAAGGAGTTGGGCCGAGGACTACCTACAGACAAAATTGATGCTGCACTTTTCTGGATGCCCAGCGGAATGACCTACTTCTTCCGGGGAAACAAGTACGACATCAGGCATTTATTGCTAGGTCTACACACACACACACACACACACACACACACACACCCTCAATTTGGGGGGAATTTTACCTCTGAAATGTTTCCCTAGAGAAGGAGCTGGGCTGAACTTTTGCTGCTGCCTGGCAACAGGTAGCTTCCAATGGGTGTTGCGTGAGTGGGATGTGACCCGGTCACCGTTTCAGACCTGGTCATTTGATGCCTCCTACCTCCAGCCCGGTGCCTCCACCCTAACAGTCAGGCACTGTCATTAAGGGCTCCTTGCAGCCTGGGCCCTCCTTCCCACCCCCACCTTCCGCCTCTTTCAGCTGCAGGCCCTCATTACTCAAAACCCTTGTCCCCCACCCCGCTAGCAGCCACCCTCTGCTCCCTGGTGAATTCAGTCCTAGGTTCTGCTATCCTTTGAAGACATCCCTAGTGTCCAACCACTTCTTCCTCATCCCTCCTCCCCTGCAGGTATTACCGTTTCAATGAGGAGCTCAGGGCAGTGGACAGTGAGTACCCTAAAAACATCAAAGTCTGGGAAGGAGTTCCTGAGTCACCCAGAGCATCATTCATGGGCAGTGATGAAGGTGAGAGGAGCAAGAGGAAATGTCCACAAGGGGAGAATGGGATTAAGGAGTTTAAGAATCAGGGAGGAAAGACTGAGAGTATTGTATGGAAATTGATGATGATAATAATTATAATGGAGCCCTTACTGTGTGCCAGGCACTGTGTTCACAACACTCGCCTTCCCCACCACTCTCCCAAGCCTGGCACTGTAATCATCTTTGTTTCACTGCTAAAGAAGCTGATGTTCACTAGGAGAGGTTAAGAAATTAGCTTGGCCAGTGCTTGTATTAACAGATCTTCCTGCTCTTCTCTCTTTGGCCCCTCTCCTGGACCCTGCTCTCACCTACTGGCTGTCTTGCCACCTTCACTGATCCCTTGCAGTCTTCACTTATTTCTACAAGGGGAACAAATACTGGAAATTCAACAATCAGAAGCTGAAGGTGGAGCCAGGTTACCCCAAGTCAGCTCTGCGGGATTGGATGGGCTGCCCCTCAGGGGGTCGGCCCGACCAGGGGACAGAGGAGAAGACCGAGGTGATCATCATCGAGGTGGATGAGGAGGGCGGTGGCGCCGTGAGCGCAGCTGCCGTGGTGCTGCCTGTAGTGCTGCTGCTTCTGGTGCTGGCAGTGGGCCTCGCTGTCTTCTTCTTCAGACGCCATGGGACCCCCAAGCGATTGCTCTATTGCCAGCGCTCCCTGCTAGACAAGGTCTGACCCCCACCGCTGGCCCACCCACTCCTACCACAAGGACTTTGCCTCTGAAGGCCAGTGGCAGCAGGGGGTGGTGGGTGGGCTGCTCCCACCTGCCTTAAGCTCCTTCCCCCTAGGTCCCCTATACCCTAATCTCCATCCCCAGACTCCTTTCTTCTCTCTGTCCCCTAACTGGCCTCTCCCACCCAAGTACCTAGCATTGCTTCTTTCCTAGAAGGCTCCCTTGGGAGGAGGCCTTTCTATCTCTGCCCCTCAGGGGAACTCTATAGCTTGGTGTATGTCCAACCTCAACTGAATGTCTTGGGGGCTCTGCAGTGGAAGGCAGGACCCTCAGACCTCGCTGGTAAAGGTCATTTTGGGGTCATCTGCTCCTTTTCCATTCCTTGGCATACCTTTAACCTCTGAACTCTGACCTCAAGAGGCTCTGGGAACCCCTGCCCCATAAGCCTCCAGGTGTACCCAATTGGCAGCATTCCACTCCTTTTTCTGGTTAGAAGGAATCTGCTATTGTGTGGAGGAGACCCTAAGGGAATGTGAGGGGCATGGGGACTGCCCAGTCACCTTAAGATCTTGGGAGCAGAACTTGGAAGAGGGTCTTTACTGCCAGTCAACTCAGCATCTCTCCACAAAGATCTGCTTCTGCCCCCACCTGCTACCCCAGAGACCTTCCAAAGAAGGAGCCTGAGCCATTAAGGACTAAACTGGGGCTAGAGAAACCCTTGGCAGCCTTACCTCCTTTCAAATGTCAGCCTTGGATGGTGGTTTCAAGGTTGGAGGAACTATCAGGGTGTGTGGGTCAGAGGGAGAGACCTGTTGAGTCTGGAGCCCTGGGGTGAACCTAAAGGCCACAGATGCCAAGAAAGAACCATACTCAAATGCAGACAGATAGGGCAGAACAGTCCAAAGGAAGAGAATGGGACCAAAAATGGGGAGGGTAAAGCAAAGACAGCTGGGGAAGAGGCAGGCCAGCTCAGCAGAGATGCTATGGGTAAGCTATAGTACTCATTTTATTGGAGCTCTCAGGAAGGGCCCCAGGAAAGGCACATTTGCTCTTCTTTGGTCCCCTTCCTCTGATGACCAGCTAACATTGAGGAGAAGGATGAGAAGGGAGCAGAGAGGGCATATATGACAGGGATGACTTGGTAACCTCAGTGCGAGAGGCCAACTAGTGTAAGTAGTCACGGAGATTCCCAGAGGCCTGGCAGGCTCAGCTAGCTTGAGGGCTGTGGATTACCCCAGCCTCAGGGAGGGGACAGGCACCTGGGTGTCTCTGTTAGGTAGCTCCTCACTTCCCTAGCCTGTCTTACCAGTGTTCTGCCGTCCCTCTCCCCAACCCAGCCTGGCTATATTTGGAGTCTCCTTCGGCCATCAGAAGGTGGTCGTGGTACTGGGGACATGGGAGAGTGAGAGACCCTGTGGAGAGAGTGAGAAGAGAGGGATGTGGGGCGGGAGGGTGATCATGGGGGGCGGGGGGTGACATGGGGTGAACGGTGCTGGCAGTTCAGCTAAATTTCTGTCTTGTTTGTTTTTTTGTTTTGTTTAATGTATATTTTTATTATAATTATTATATATTAATTCCATTCGAATTGTTCCTTTTTTGTTAACAAGGGGAAGGGGGGAGGGGGGACAGAGGCATTTGACCCCAGGAACCTGCAGGGCGGGGCTGGGTCAGTGTCCTCTAAGGATGTTTTTGACCTTGTTCAACCTTTCCACCAAGAATAAAGCGTGTTTCACATTTTTGTGTAGCTCCCATTCTTTGTAGGGTGACTGGAACGTGGTTTGGAGGAGAATGGAAAGGGGGTGATGCACCATGAGCAGTGTTTTTCATGAGATGGGACTTTGGGTTGTGGTTTTTTTTTCATTAAAGAATATGTTTATTCTTAGTGGACTAAAGGATTTGGGGGCCAGAGGCAGGGAGGAAGGAGTATCCCATTGAGGGCAGGGATATAGCTAACAGAGCCTACCTTTGAGCGCCAAGGCTTCCTCAGCAAGATGAAGTTTGACCACTTCCTCTTTGGAAGCTTTAGGTCTCAACAGCTGCTTGGAAAATCGTCCTGAATTGCATTACCCTGTCGCATGACCTGACCACAGACCCTCAGTTCCCTTGTGCCTCTCAGCCTGGGGAATTCCCAAGAGCACATTCAACATCAGTCCGGGTGGCAGGCCTTTCCCCTCAGCTCTAAGGACCTAACTAAGCCTTTTTTAGCAGCAGAGGATGGGATTGAAGAAATCTAGGTGAAGCCCTATAGCCAATAGGGAACAGTCTGTTTCTGATAGAATGGGACCTCAAGGAACACAAACTGCCCAGGTTTGTTGAAGGGAAAGAATAACAAGGCTTTGTTTCCTTTCCTTAGAAATTGCTGTTCCAGACAGGATTCTCCCAGGCTGGGCTTCCTCCGAAACCAGCCTGAGGGACGAATCGCTGAGTCAGCTCAGCTGGAGAAGAGCAACCTCCTTTCCTCACCCGCCTAGTCTCCCCTTCCTGCCTCAGCCCAGCCCATATTGGGCTCCAGCCCAGGGCCCCTCCACAGCGGCCTTTGGAGCCCTGGCCCCACCTATGCCAGTCGGTCTCTCCAGCTGCTATTCAGGGCTGGTTGGTGTGATTGCTTTGGCAGAAGGGGTCCCTACCTTCTTGCCAGCCAGGAACCCTGACCCCTACGCCTGGCCTCCTGCACCACCCCTGCCGACAGCTGTTTGGCAGGGCCCGTGAACTTCAGTGCAGTCAGACACTACCTTCCACCCTTGGTGGACATGGGACCTGAGAAGTCAACACAGGGAAATCAGGGGCATCTAGGGGTGATGGGGTCTGCGCGTGTGGCAGAAAACTCAAAGATGAGCTCATGGCCCCATTGTGTTTTTGTGGTCCACATATGGAGGCAATTACAGATGTTATCCAGTGGGAGTTCTGCAAAACACAGCTGGAGCCAGTGGAGGAGCCTAGGGAGGGGGACTGCCAGAGGGGAGGGAAGGGGGAGCCCAGGGCTCTCGGCTGGAGTGCGGTTTCCCCATCACGAGGAAATTGTTTGGCCCTGATTCTGGAATCACAAGATGCTTTCTGAAGCCAAGGGGGAAAGATGGGAATGGAGGACCAGAGACAAAGGGGGAAGATGTGAAAGAAGGGTTCCAATAAGCAGAGGGTACTGGAGAGTGAAAGCTATGGGGTCCTGTGCTTCTGTCATGATTAGGTCTGCTGAGACACCCCAGCAAAGTTGATGGCAACTTTGGGGTGTTCCCTAGTGATCACAAAGTCCCTGCAGAGGAAGCCACCAGAGCTAGACTGGGTCCAGGGAGAACAGAGGACCCTGTGGCTCCAGAGAGACCTAAGGCTCTGCTTTCGCTGGCCCCAAGTAGCTTTGCCCATTGGGCCAGACCGAGTTTCTATGGTTCCAAGTTCCTTTATTAGAAAGCAGCACACGTGAGCTGAAGCAGCAAGGAGGGAGCCAGGGGAATCTGCAGGAGGTTTGGGTAGAGCCCAGAGAAGCAGGGCCCTAAGGAGAGGACGCACGGGGGAGGAGGGCTCCGGAGAGGCAGGACTATCCACCATTACCAATTTAGAAGAGAGATCTGGACTCCCTTGTCATTGTCCCCTTCTCTAAGGGTCTTGCCACCACCCAGCTTGACCCACACCTCCAGGGCTGCCAGCCAGGTGCTGGGTCAGCAGGATGGGAATGAAAGGGAAAGGAAGATCTAACAGAGGTTTTGATTTCCAAAGCAGAGAGAACTGGGCAGAGTGACCCTCACCCCCATTTGTCTGCTTCTGCCAGTTCCTCTCTGTCCCTCCCCCCAAAGGCCCCTCTCCTGTCAATCTGACTTTCCAGTCCTTTTCCCCTTATTTATCCCTATATCCTTTTCTAGAGGGAAAGGGACAAAAACCTAACTTTTTACAACACAAACATTGCCCTCATAGAACAGATGAGAAAATGGAAACCCAGTAAGGTAAAATGACTTGCTTAAGGTCACATAGTTGCTAAATCCAAAATTCAAGCCCAGACCTCTGCCATTTCAAAGGTACACAGTTCAAATCTACCAGCTGCTCCATAGGACAAAGATGGGCACTCTCTTCCTGTGCAATTTACTGCCTCTGAAAACCTGTGGGAGCAGCCATGACTCAACAGTACATAACAAGAACAATACAGGCAGATGTTGACGGATCTCTTGAATATTCCTTTTTGTGTTCTCTGCATGTTGTTGTGTATCATCACCCACAGCTGACTTTCCAGCAGATTTTTCAGAGGCAGTAAATCAAACGATAGGAGATTGCCCATCTCTCTCCCATGGAGCAGCTGGTGGAGTCGAACCACATATCTTTGTCTTGACAGTGCAATTACTTGCCATTAAGCCACCAGAGCTCCTGTGTATTTTGAGGATCTGTCAGCAGTGCGGTGCTATCCTTTTGTGCTATGTTCTTGTGCAGCAACATCAGCATAGGAGTGCAGGAGGAAAGAGTCAGACGCAGGAATTTGTCAGGTCAGCCTGTTGGCCCTGCTTAGGGAGAGGAACCAGCACTCTGAGAGAAGGAAAGGACTGCAAGACTCAGCAAAATAATGGCAACAGCTAGAAGGGCACAGGTAGATAAATGGCGGTGCCAGAGCCTAAGAAGGAGGGATGGATCAATTCAGAAGGGCTGATTCCCTAACCTCAGTAAAAGCTCTTCCCCTGGCCCTGTACCCCTTCCTAACCACCTTCCCCGTACTGACTATACTTTCTTCTGGTGACCAATCCATGCACATCTGGTTCCACCCTGGGGGCTCCTACTTTTCTTCTCCCCTTCAGACTTGGGATATTTGGGAAATCCAGAGCCTGCCTGTGAGGGGGTTGGGCAGCAGCGCCTGGAAGGGAGGCAGGCCTGACTGGCCAGAGGCCACCTTCCAAATGAGCTCACACACATACTTTCCACCCTGGCCCAGGGCCGCTGGCTGAGCTCCTTCCAGGCCAGCCTTTTCTAGCCAGGCCCAGCCCCTCTGCCCTCCCCTGCCACACGTCCTGGCCCCAGGGCTTCCAGACAATGAGCAGGCACACCAGGCCAAGCCTGTTACCACATCCCAAGGGATCAGCTTCCTCTGCCTTCATGCTGAGGCCAGGCACCCCAGAATCCTTTATTCCTCAGCCTCCATAA